TTGTTTATTTATCATTCTCACATTAACCCAATTCATTAATTCTCCACATTTCCCCTCCAGTCATCCACCATCAGTTTGAGAACCACTGACCTTCTTACCACCACAGGATGCTCACCGATACGTCTGATTACTCAGTCTTTAATCATGACACGACTCGACTTAAAGTAACATTTTCCAAGTAGTGAGGATGTTGTGACCATCGGCGTCCAGCTGTGCTGTTCTGGACGAAGGGGAGGGGTCCAACAGTGTGATGATCACACAGATCACACTTCCACTGCCTCCACACCTGCTGCTACACAATACAAAATTGTGTCGATGAGTCAGCACTTTGTCAGTTTTAATTAAACATCATCACCTGTTGTTAACACGCAGCAATTCCTCCTGCTGATCTGCATCTGAACATGATTCTTCCTGCTGTTGTTAATTTCTTCTTTATCTATATCTATATATATTAATTTATAAGGAGACAAAGAGAAATCGTCATTTATGTTGCCAATTTGTTGTGTATGTACATATAGTTATCCAGTATACACTGTGTGTATGAGGCACACACAGTAAGATTAGATGAGTTATTAAAAGGGATAAATGCATTGATCTGTTAGTGGAGAAGCAGACTCAATCACTAATGCTGGCAAACAAAAATGGTGGAAGAAATATACTTTATATGTGGAAATAAGTTAAAGCCCTGCATTGAAAAAGTATTATCAGCAAAATTTACTAAAAGTATAGAAAGTTAAAGTACTCAATCTGGTCCCAGTCAGTGTTTTATATATAATGTATCACTGCTGCATTAATGTGTAGGTTGCATTTTACTGCTGTAGATGTTTAAAGTTAAGCTCATTTTAACGACTTTATATACTGTTGGGTGGTTCAATCTACAGCCATGCATCATATTATAAAAGATCATCATATGCTTGTGCTGTGAGAACCACGTATCTCTAAAAAGTTATCAGAAAAACAGCTTATATTCAGTTTTGTGACAATACATTTTCCAGCTAATCCACAAGGTGTTTTAAATAATTTCTTTAGCTGCAGAATTGTAACTAAAGCTCTCAAACACATGTAGTGGAGTAAAAAGTACAATATTCTGAGATTGAAATACTCAAATAAATAAACCTTGAATTGATACTATAGTACAGTAGCCTACATGAGTAAATGTACTTAGTTATTCCACCACTGGGTTAAAAGGTACAATATGTTATGTTTTAAAATATATTTTATAGATTCATTTTATTCTTAATACTGAAGGATGATATGTTTTGTAGTCTGAAGAAAATCAAATCAAGAATAAAACAACCCTAACCCTAACCCTGACCATTTAAAATCAACTAAAAAACTTTATTTTTCCTCTAAATAATACATTAAATCATAACTATCTGTATTAAAACCTTCTGATAATCTCAACACTCAACTAGCATCAACCCCTCCACCTCTAACTGCTGCTGCACACTGCGTCCACTGGGTGTCACTGTAAGATCACATTTTTATTCAGAGCCTCAAACGCAACAGTTCACACGAAGGCCTTTAATGTAATATACGTGATATACGAGTTTTTGCTGATTTTTTTTTTTTTAATTACAAGACATTTATCACCTGTGTTCACAAAGATAAAGGCGGGTAAAACAACCTGGAGGTTTATGCTAATGAGCCTCTCAATTAACAGGTGCGTCAGTCAAAATGGCGACACGTCCGAAGATAAACACACTGACACATTTCAAAGCCAGACATCAACAAAAGTCTACATTTGCTCTTGAAAAATGAAGATATTATTCCATATTTTGTGTGGGTGAGTTTCAGGTAAAAGGAAAAAAAGCATGTTTTACTGTAAGTTTAGCCTCATACAAAGATATTTGTTTGTTTCAGCGTGATGTTGCTCCTCGACTCACCTTTCTACTGTATTACCAGCGCAGTGCCGACAGGTAAGAGCAGATTATGAAGGCACAGTAAGTGGTATCATAAAGCCAAAATATACTGTTTTATAACATTACATAGAATAAGGACCAGAAAACTCTGGAGGGCCCTTCAGGAAAGAAGTGGATATTACTTCAGACACACTAATAAAGTGTTTTTCAATATAGTGTATTACTTTCCCTTGCACAGAGTTTTATATGCCAGGACTATTAAATAACCTTCCACAGGGGAAATATTGTACTGTTAGAGATGCTCTTGTGTGAAATTATATACAGGATATGGTGCAGTGTGGAGTGAGATAGAGCAAATACTGTTATTTTATGGCCCCCCTTAACGTTACATTATCTAATAAGAGCTGCAGTTTGGTGATATGGCTGGAATCAGTTAGTTGTTATTAAGTATGTCTCTACTACATGGCTCATTTATGCTAAACTGTGGATAAAGTAATAAAATGTATGTTCAAAGTAATAGATTCTGTCCCACTGTTATACAAATGTATTTTCATATAATCATAATTCCACCAAAAGTTTATACACAATAATAATCCATTTATGCCCAGACGTATTGCATCAGAATGATCTAATCTCAGTTTAATGCATTTCTTTACATAATAATTGTAATAATTAATTATCTTGAATTGACGCCATTTTTAATATTTCCAGGACAGTTTCAGACCAAATGTCTCGAACGCCACTTTCTGCTTTCTGTCAAGTCGAGCTTTCTTGGCCCGATGATCCGTTTTGACTTTGAAGGTGTGTTTCTTTATCGTCCCCGAGGAAGAATTTGGGTTCTCTCCAAGACTTGTTGATAATCTTTTGCTGTAAACCACCAGATCAGTATGGAGTCCACCTGTTGTCCGATCAGCAGGTGACGCTCTGTGGTTACACCGTCCTGATCAATGATGTTGGAGACCTGGTGTTTCGTGCCTCCTTCCTGGCCTGTCATGTCCACAGCAAGGTAGATTTATCTACAGCTCCTCCTCTGCAGAGAGCCACAGACTATCACCTGCGTCTGTGGTTTGTGAACGTGCAGGCGGACGGGAAGGTGGCCGCGTATCCCTTCCAGCTGCACTGCTCCCTCCCGGGGCGGTGGAGCACCAGAGAGATCGTCTGTGAGGAAAACTACATGGAGGTGAGTCACTTCCTCATCATCATCATCAACCACCACTTATTCTCCAACTCGTGTTCGGTTCACTTTTCCTTTTTAACTAAATTTAGGTGAGAGAATCTGCTGCATTATATTTGGTCTTGAACTGAATAGAATATTTAAAGGATGGATGTTAACTGAGGTTTAATTAGGATGTATCCGTAAAGATTAACAGATGGAAGAGATTTGAGTATATAGTGTGTTATAAAATAAAAGATGAGGAACAGAATTTCCTGCTTTGTATTGAAAAATAGAGCTTCAACCTTTCTAACCACTAACCTCCAACTTACAAGATGCCACACTTAATTATCA